TATATATATATTCCAGAACGAGCGACAATCAGTAATCGACCCACGCCATCCAAATGTAACGGCAATGTAGTCAATGTGTCAGAGGCTGACTAGCATGCGGTGGACACCACGTGTCCAAACAGACCGATCATCGCCGCGTTTAGCTATTAGCCGTTAGGGCTTAAGCAGACAAAATAAAAAGATTGCGGTGGACCTCGCTTTCTCGAGATTCTCTCACAAATGTTGCCAGGAGAAAGATGGCTCTGTGCTCTGAGCGCAAATCTACTAGCTGGAAGGTCTATGGTTCGAATCCGACCTCTGTCTCTCGACTTCCCCTGTCCAGGCTTGGGTAACCTGGCAGTATCCAAGCCCTCGTGTTTCCCTCGGGTGGCATGACAGCTAGACATTGGAGGGTGATACAGCTGAACGGCTGACATCTTCGAAACAACTCGTGGGACATGCTCAATCAGGACCACAACTTTCCCGTGCCCTGAGTTTTCGTGATTCGGCAAGAAAGGCATATCTGGGAAGAGTCGACGTCCAACTCAGAAAGTTGTTGGAAAGGAAAAGCTGGGTCCGTTTTAGAACTTTCCAATAAATACGGTAGACCCTGAGCCGGTGCAGCAGGGAGACGTGTGGAACTCGATCAGATGCATTTGACAAGTCGAAAAATGTGACGCCCGATGTGACTCTCTGGCTCGTGTCAATCTGCTTATCAACAAGAACGGCTCCGGAATAACTTGTGCTGCACTGGAGATGCTAAACTGTCGGTAATGAGGAAATTTAGAATGCCCCACCTAAGAAGGCCTCCCACTACCTTGCGACGTAGGCTAATGAGGCCAACAGGCCTATGGCTGTCGAGCGACAATCGGTCACCAGTTTTGTGGACCGGTGTGACAGTCGTTTTATTCCAACCAGAAAGAAAGTTCCCTTTATCCGGCGACAGACGAAACAGCTGGTAGGAATGTTTAGCCAAGCAAGTGATGTTTCAATAGAGGTTTGGGTGCACTTTATCTGACCCGGACGCGCTGGAGGGGCGTCTCATAAAAAAGTTCACGAACACTTGCATCCGTAAGGAGCAAGTTTGTTAGAGGCCGTTCGTAGTTTTGCCCTGAGAAGGTTTGATACGATGAACCTGCTGGAACGGAATACAAGCTTCCATTTTTGAATCGTTTCTGGGTTGTCTCCCCTTCTCTAACGGAGGACTGTTGGCCTGTTTGTTCGGTGGTGTCGCATGCTAGTTAACACTGCAATTTTATTTTTACCAGTCAAGACACTATGATGGCCTGCTTCCTTAGGTTCCGTTGGCAGACTTCTCACACGTCTGAAAAAATGCCAGCTCGTCCTATGGGTCTTCTGTATATACCTTTCTGAAGGATATGTAGACATGGTTTCAAGAAGACTGTGAAAGCTATGGAGCAGCTTTTGCTTCGTTCCACTCAATGTTGGATGGACACTGGATCAGCTTCGTGAATTCTTCGGAGAATGGCCGTAAAACTTCTCTGACAAAGCTGATCGCAGTTCGGGCTGGTTACAGCAGACATACATTCCTGCGGAACCTGCGAGGCAGAGGTCTCGAATGAACGTCGGTCCAGTAGGGGACGAACTCAATAAAATACATAGCGAGCAGTGTGTCCCAAACAAGCCGCAATTATCAGTCAGCCGACAAAGTGTCTTCAATTAGTAACACCCGGGTCCAATATTGATAGCAGCTGACCTGGTCAATATCTGATTGGTGCGTTGGCAGGCTGAGTTCAAGTGCTGTTGCACAACTCGAGCTAGCGCCAGTGTGAAATGTACTCTAGACCCGACGTGCTGTAATGCCGGCAGTTAGAAAGGCGGTCTGGTCACTTTGTACATCTTTTGTTCGGGAAAGGCAAAGCTACTATGAGCGTGTTTATGAAGCTATCACGGAATTACTCAAGACCATACAACACATGGCACGTGCCTGACATTTCGGCTGATTTACATATAAGTATTGGTGATGTATAACCTTGCTTATTTGGCATATGTTCACGAAATGTCTTTCTGTTTTCCGTTATAGAAACTGTTCTGAACCTTACCTTCAAATAATTCCCATCGCCTGCTGCATCCGCGGAGCTTATACTACGCGCCCTATTCGAGTGCGGAAGACTTCGGCCTAGAGTAGCTCGATTCTGGTTTGTCCAGGTTCTGGCCAATCAGGGCAGAGCTCCTTTAGGCCTGAACCCGATTTTGTTGGTTGCTCAAAAGGATGAAGTTAAGCTGACCACTATGGGTAGTCAGTATTCGCACAATGGAATTGAATTTCTGAAAGCTATGACTTATCCCTGATGGAATGAAGCACTCGGGCAAGTGAGTTCAAAGTACCAGTCCATACTTTTGAGCCCGATTTATGCATCCCGGCGTTTCAGCGACGCTGGGAAATTATTCCACGGGGTCTTTCCGCCAGAGGCATGATTGTGTCAGTGAACCATGAAATTTAGTGAGCTGCAAACACATGAATGTAGATTGGATGGTTTCTGGTTTGAGCACATACGCAACAAAATGGAACATTGTGGCACAATATGTTTCACTCCATTCGCGAAGGTTTTGGAGCCAAGAGCATCGTACGGCTAATGGGTTCCACCGTTCACCCAACTAAAATTTTGCGGTGACTTTGAAGGAAATTTTTCAAGATCAGCTAGCATACATTTTTTTGGGCAACTTTTTTCTCATTTCAGGTAGTTATTGCGCGCATAACCTTCCTCTGACGGTTGTTCACGCTGCATCAGTGCCCAGTTCAATGCACTGTTAAACGCTTTTTGTGAATGCCTGCGCTTGCAATCTTACAGCCCCTCGTCGAGTACTTAAAGTTCAGTGCCACGCAATTTTCGCTTGTGCCCCTCAAGTGAAATGGGGCTGCCAAACAACTTTATTGTTATTATTATTAGTAGTATTATTATTATAACAACTCGGACCAGGGAAGCTTGCGCAAAGTCGTCGTCTTGTCTCGGTCCATGAATCTGTGAAGCACACTGGTTGCCTGGGCGTTTTGGAAGTTTCATTGTTGGACGTATCACCTCTGATGTTCTGGAATTGGTTTGATCCGTCGAAAGGCCTCATTTCGTGAATCAGATCGCTGCTCTGGTTGGTCTGTCTGAAAACTATTCAGCTTTGGAGGCTGGTTCATATAACTGAGTGGCTCTCCCGAAGCAAGCTAATTCTGTCCCTGTGTTTTGATCGGTGCGTATCAAATTAGTGATGCATCTTGGTCATATTTTCTTAAACTCCATTAGCCTGTCTCACCTCCTCTAATTCCTTGCTGCGACTGAACTCCACGTTCGATTTGCAAATGCTTTTCTTTGTTGTTTTGAGGTTCTCGCCAGTCAACCTAATTTGTTACTTTTGGTCCGCTCCTCTGGTTACCAACCTCCTTGGACTTCTGTAGGTCCGTAGTTCTCTAGTTTCCAGCAGCTGACAGAGTGGGCCGACAGTGTAACTTAATTCACATGATTCATTTCGCCATATGCCTGGCTTGTGCCGTCAAACCATTTCCTATGGGGATGGAGGCGATTAATATTGGTGATGTCCTTGGATAACGAGACTCTACTCATGAGGTATGGCGAAAATGTTACCCCATCGTCCCACACATTGGTTGCTAGAACCTCTGCCACAAATACTGCCTTTAAACCTGTTCCTCGCCACTTGATGGTGGTTTCTTTTTGCATTCCATTGGGACCTACCAGTACAGTTCATTTGAAGTTGGTGCATATTCCACTTAAACGTGTTCTCTAGATATTTTCTGCTGTCTTCTGATAGGTAATTGTGTTTGCTCACGTGGTTCGTGCCTATTTTTGCCTACATATCATCACAAACGGTCTTTCTTTTGCTTGATACCCTCAGGTTACTTGAACCGGATTCCTCGTTAACCTATTCTGACTCGGGCATGCTTCCAAAGTTTTCTATCAGTGTATTATCCAATAAGCCGAATAAACGTTCCGGGGCAGACTACAGCAGGCAGTATCCGATGGAACCCCGTCTGATGTGCACCAGGGCTCAATCCACATGAGCGGTAGTGGTGGTTTTGGACATCAATATGGTTTCAGGTCTAACGCATCCCAGAGTTTGCATCACTTGCCCCATGCAGGTACACTCTGAACACGCCAACACCCATCTAATAACTTCCCTCACCAGGAGCCCTTTTGCTGATACAAACGAAGGGGAAAATGCATCGCAGCTATCCCTCCAAAAGCATCATAAGCCCCAACCAACCGTATCCACGTTGACACCCCGTCTTCAAAAATCGCCAGCGGTGGATTGCCCTCATCAAAACTACCTTAAATGTGCAAAGAGTATCTTAGTTCCCGCCACCGACCTAATTGACAGGCGCTTGAACCAATACCATTGGATAGTGAGGACCGAAATCACAGTTTCTTAGCCTCTCGCACACTGGAGAAAAAGCGGATGCGTTGTCAGTTTGGTTAACGGAGACCTTGAGCTCGTCGAAGCGGGTAAGTCCTTGGTGGAAGTGTTCTATAGCGTACACTCCCAGAATATGAAACTTGAGGGAGTTTCGCGAAGGAGGTAAGGGGATCAAGGACCAGATCCTTTGTTCTGGTTCTTCATTTTCAGCAATTCCCACTTTTATTGTCATGTGTCAGGCATGGTGTCTCTTGTTTTGCCTTCCTTCGTTTTGCTTTTTCCCGCCGCCTTCAAATTCGAACCATCTGATCTTGCCTCAACAGCAGCCCCTTGGACGCAGAATACATTTTTATGCGCAACCCTTGGGGGTAAAATAAAAACGTTTACGTCAGAATGTTGCATTTCTTTGCATATGTGCTCAGTCCAAAAATTACCCTCATCTGCCGTCACTTTTTTGAGATTTGTTTCAATTAATCTCCTTTCAAAATTTTGAGGGCACATCTGAAGTTCAACTTGCTGTGCTGTAACGCATTTGAAACTCGAATGTATCTGCTTGCCCGTTTCTCATATGACCTTATACGTGCCCCTCTCTTTCTCTCTTCCCCCATTGCAGGTACCACGGACGAATCACCACGGGCCCTGGACAGGGAAGAGTACCCCGCTTGTACACCCCCTAACTGACCTTGACCCGACCCTGACACACCCCCCGCTTCCGGTTTCGGTTTCGCTCAATACACGTGTCGTTACCACACTCCGGCCTTCTCCCTTGTTCCACCCGACCTGTGCGCATGTGTGCTGTGTATACTGTGTGGATTCATTAATACCAGTCCGTATATCTGCACATTTCAGAACTGACGTGTGCCGTCCTCTCGAACGTCGAATACCGCTGACTTCCTGACATCCCACGCTACAGTGCCATGGCTTTGGAAGTGGCACCACATGTGTTTGTTGAGAAATTTTGGGCTCTATCCTTTTCATCCATCAGGGCAGTTGAGAAGGCCTCAAATCAATACATCAAGGATAACCAGGTTCAGCTAAGTTCATTCAGCTGTCTGCTATGATCAAATTAAGCTAATTGATCAAGCATTGCGGACCCCTAGCCGCATGGTAGTCGTGTGCATCAACTAGGTTCGTTGAGCAATCCGCCATGATCAACGTAGATTTCATGTGGCTAATCGATCAGAAGTCGAGGTCTTCCTAGAATGATACGCATCCCATATGGAAAGCTCTGCTGTTTACCAACAAACTTGCACACGGGTTACGGAATTTCAACTTGCAACAGCAATTATCGAACAGAAGTTGGTTTCAGGAATGCACCTCCGCATATTTTGCATTCCCATAGCATGTGTAGGCTTTAGAATGTTCAGGGAAACATTTCAGCCGGAAAACTACCTGAAAGTTCCGTCCATTGTAAGTGGGCCGAAGTTTTCAACAGTTCGCGATATCTTACTACATTAGGTAATGTATTCAGCGATGATGTTTTTTACCTTGATGATTCGCTCGCTTAAACAAATCACTATAGTGGATACTTTTCAATAATACGGGGAAATATACAATATACATAGACATTCTACACCATGAAGTGGCAAGCCTGAAAATGCCGTAGCTTTCGAGAAATCGATCCGACTGTCCGAATACTGAGCGGCGCTTCAGCTGGACAGTTTACCTAAAAGACAAAAGTGATAATGCTTTACGGTTTGTGCTGCCGGTGGATGTGTTGTGAGCAACCTTAGTAAACAACTGAAGCTCCTTTAGACCGAACGTAAATCCCGGGGCGAGCAGCGCCATACCAGCTAGATCGCGCAATAAATCGGAAGCGTGTAAATCTTTTTATGTTTTCCCTGCAAGATAAAAGATGACTCAGTCCTCTGGGAAACCTATTGGAAGTTAAGAAAGCGTTCGTGAGTTAGGTAGTTTTGAAAGCTCATTTAGCTTACTCGGAAGTATCAAGACAAATAACTGGAATGTCGCCGATAAAGAAGCAGAAAAACATCTAGTTTCATTCATCATGGTAGATTTTACAAGAATCCCCTGATTCGAACCGTTTATAAAAACTTTTATGTACTCTTTGAATGACCTGAAGCCCAGCATGACACTTTTCTTTAAAGCAATGAAGTGCCTTGTCCACACGGCTTGTATATTACACTTGTCAAAGAGTGTCAAGGCCGTGGTGCCTAACCTGACCGTGATACTCCACACTTACAGTGGCAAATCATTTCTGCCTGGTGTTTCGTCAGTAGCTTGACGAAGGCGGACTTCACTCCTCTAAGAAGGAAGCAATTATCATACCAATCAACAAAACGGATGGCCGGATATCGCCTGGTGGCTACAGGCCTATTAGTTTGACTAGCTTGCCATGCAAGCTGGTGATGGAACGCATCCTAAGGCGAGCCATCCCAAATCATCGTACTACCAAAAACCTGATATCTCCAGTTCACCACGGATTCTTCCAAAGGCGTTCTTGCGTAACAAACATGCTCGTGTTTAATGGACAGCTTAACCCAAGCCAAGGATGAGGGACTCATATGGGATGCCATATTTTTGGACTATTAAAAAGCATTCAAACGAGTTTTCCGTTCCCGCCACTCCACTAACTCGAGTTTTGTGGGACTCAATGGGAACTTCTACACTGGATTAGGGCGTTGCTGTCAGGCAGAACACAGCAGGTTGAAGTTGGTTCGACCGGCGCTGCTCTCCACCGGAGTTCGTCGAGGCTCGGTTTTGGGACCACTGCTGAGTCTGATATACGTCAACGAACTTCCAGAGGTTCTAACAAGTCCGCGTCCACTTCTTGCGGTCGACTTGAAATCCTGGAATTCGAATGTCAATGCCCTCCAAACGGATGTAGACGCTGCGAAGCAGTGATTATTGGACTGGCACGCGCCCATGCGTCATTTGGAGGGGACTCAGAAATGCCTTTGTCACGCATGGTGAGAAAGAACAGAAGACATCACGATGATAGATGCCAAAAGGATTTAGGTATTTGGCCATCTTCGAATGCGTCCTTCTCATGGAACCATGAAAAATCAGCTCAAAAGGCATTCGCCGTTATACGACGATTCGGTGCGTCTTCTCCAGCATGGACATCAAGATACTCTAAAGTCTAAGTCAGACCGTTTCTTGAGTAAGCCAGCCAGTTTGTCCACTCAGGACGAAATAAGGACGTAGCCATTTTGGGCGCAACCAACAAGCTGCTACAGAAACGGTTGCCGGCCTTAAATGCGCGAATGAGGAAAGGCGTCTCTCGGTGCTTGATCCCCGAAGTACCATCGACTCCTTGGTTTACCCAAAAGGTTGTTCTCCATTGACTCAGCTAAGACACGGCGGGGAAGATTTTCGAGCACAGAGCGCACTCTTCTATTCGGCATTTTTTTCTCATTTTTGGTGGCTGCCACATGGAATAACCTTCCCCTACATCTAGTAACGAGTTCAGCGCACTATTAGACGCTTTTCTACGCGAGTCCTCTCACTAGAGAGCTTACTACCCCTCTCTGAGAACTTAAAGGGCAGTGCTTCGCCATTTTTCCGCTTGCGCCTTTTGGGGGAAAGGCAACTGCTGGAACATAACAAACACACAAAACTTGGGCGGAAGCCTCTACCCTGTGTACCAATCCGTGATCGAAATAAAAGCCAGCCTTTATCCGAGCCAATACGTAGTCCAACGCCATTGCTTCTTCTGGATGAGACCCCTTGGAATATGAAACACTTCGAATTACCTAAATAATTCCGAGGCGAAAATCCGGTAAGCACGTCGCACTGACAAAACGACAAACAAGGCTTGATACGCTTGCGGATTAACCGATTGTAGTGGTGTGAAAGTGCATGCGTCCGGATGGAATCATGTGTTCCAACAAACTGGTGAGGGATCAAATTGCTTCCCGAATTAGGAAAGCCAGGACAGCACCCGCAAACGCTGTTGGCGCGACGCGTGGAGCACCGACCTGACTTCAAATTGGCTGTCGAGAATAGCGGGCACTAGGCTGCGGTTCGGCCCGTCCTACTTAAAGACGCGTCTGCTGCGTGTAGAATATGTTTGATGACCATGTTTGATAGTCGCCTCTGAAACATTGCGCGGGTCTGGTGGACACCACATCAGCAATACTTAGGTACGCCAAGCGGTTTTCAGGAGAGTGCATTATCCTTCGACATATCAGCTGGTCGGACTCCACGAATTACGTCTAATATTCCCTGTGTTAGAGCTATAACCGGCTCAGTTTTTAAATGAAGGAGTCGTGTATGAATTCCGAGGTTGCTGGATATTTTCCTCCGCGGGCCAGCACCAAAGCATATATTCTGTCGAAGCAAACACTAGTTAAAATTGCGCGGGGCATGCGATGGTTTCGGAACACTGCTCGAAGGTCGACTACTAACCGGAGGCCAGCGGCTCCTAATGACCCAGCAACACGTCGACCATCTCATGTAAGGGCTGGGAGAAATGAAGGCATGCCCTTGCTCAGAGCATTCACAGCCCGCCCGCCCCCATAAGGATTCTGGGGCGATTTTTGTAAGGCTCCTTGGTGACCATATAAACGCAGTCGTACTGCTCCCTTCTCGATAAAGAGCCACCCGAAGACGGTGTTTGCCCCAGTGGACGGCGCAGGAGGTAAAGGCCTGACTCTGGAGTTGCACCACCGTCCCAGGAAGTTCACCCAAATTTGTTTGTGCTAGTCTTGAGCTTCAGAGAGCCACACCGTAACAAAATACTCTGCTTTGAGTGGCCCCTGCCGAAAAAGAACAACGAAAAAACCACGAAAGTATCCAGCTTTATGGAAGAAAAATGCAGAGACCAATTCTGAGTAAGAAAAATCAAATCGCCGCACTGTGTTGCAAATAGGCATATTCGACAGGATGTCCACAACACGCAATTAGTCTACCGCACAGTGTTAAAATTGGGCGCCGTCAGATCTAACCGGGATGGGTAGATGCTACTCAGCTGTGATGTAGACTCAGAGTCGATAACCCGGATGGGTCGAACCACCAAACAGTTTGCAGGTATTGTGGACAGCGTAGATGACTCCCTCTGATTTGGGGAACAAGCGTTCTCCAGCAGCCATGCAATGACAGCCTCAGCGAGTTCTTTGCAAAACGCCAGACTTGCTCCCGACACCTCCACCAACAGATCTGTAGTTGATACGCCGAGCTGAAGTGCGCAAAACAATAGAATAGCAGAAGAGATGAAAAATGAAACTTTTGTAGGAAACTGAATGACATAACGCATAAAATAATAATGGAAACATGCAAATCATGAATTTCCAGCACTATTGCTAACCTGTGCAGAGGCGTTAAAATGAACTTGTTGTTCTGTTACAGAAATGATATAGAATGTCGCACATAACCACACATTCATAAGAAGTGTGAAAAGCCGGATTATGAAACGATAAGCGGAACATAGCCAATCATCAGTCCGCTAAAAAAAGGTTGAGTAGATTGTACATGCAGGTCAAAAGTAAAGAAAATACCTGAAGTCGGGTATGATGATTCAGTTCGAAATTTCCAGTGTCAATCGACTGGTGTGTAACTATCCACCATGGGAAGATGAAGCTCCTTATCCCTATCTTAATGTGAAACGCATCTGATTTCGCCGGGATTTGTCCATATTTTTGAGTACGGGAATGATTTCATCATTCTCCTACGCAGCTCTACCGGAAATCATTAAACTGTTCCGATTCATGCACTCAAGCTGGCGTAAGGGTCTTCACACGATATCAGATGATTACCGTGACCAGTCATTCTTCATCCTGACAAAGCACTCTCTTCCTTTGCTGCATTTTATTGTGTGTATGGATTCTGTGGATAGCATAAATTCAAACCATCACGACAGCCATCCGTCCAATCACAGCCTACAACCTATTCATCTTTCACGTGAATGGGGCGACCCGGCGACGACAACCGACCGATTTCCACAGTGTCCAAAATGCAAACAGCCACCATGCTTCACCAAAAAAAAATCAAATCCGCAAGCTCCACCGATGTGGAAAACAAACAGGGTTTCGTTCAGAAAGAGAGTGAATCGGTCGAGTAGTCGAACTCCAGCAGCTGTCAGAGAAGCCGTGTAGCCACCATGACCACCCCGGATAATAAGCGTGTCTTTGACGCAACAGTGCTATAGCATTTGTCCAAGGGTGGTTGAACGTCCAAAAAGTACATTACCGTCAACTGATCGGTGTGCGCGTACACCTTATACCAAGTAAAAAAAGACTGTTCTACTCAGCTAATAACTCCAAAGGGGATGTGTGTTGGTACTATTCCTGTTTACCTTCCCTAATGACAGTGTCCTAAATAAAGCGCTGGGGACGTGATCTTGAATTTTGTATGAGGATATTGTTCTAGCCTTTGATGCTTTAGGCCGTGAGAAGCATGTGAATAAGTTTTCGGACTCGATTCCGTGCTTCGAAGTGCATTCGCACAACACCCATTCCAGATGCAGGACGATGTCGACGAACCAGTAGAAACCCACCTGGGAACTTATCACTGAGGATGGAAATGACCGGAAGATGCACTTAGCTGGACATTCATTATGTACGGACAGGGTGCTCGAGATAGCTAAGTGGCTAAAGCGCGAATTGATTGATTGGAAGATGCGTGGTTCGTATCCAACCTCAGAAGCCCGACTGCTCCTGTCTAGGCTTGGGCGCGCTCACAGTATTTCAGTCCTAGTGCTCCCTTTGGGTGCAGTGGCAGCTAGGCGCTGAAAGGGAGTTACAGTAGAACAGTAATGATGATTATGATAGGCAGGACGGGTCAAGCGACGAATCGGGTGGAAAAGGCCCATGGCGCGAACCGCCACCACTTATAGCACTGCCATGACGTCAACGTGCAATTGGCGCATTAGACATGCAGTGCGCACGCGCTCTGCCACTCTAACGAAACGTGCCATTCCTGTGCCTGATCATGGATGCATGCTGCCCGTTGGATATAGCTGTCAGGACTGATTACATTCACTAACATCGACTTGGCTCCACAAAACCCAGCAAGCCCAAAACGTGACATGAAACTTACGCATGTCTGTAAACCATCTAAAGCAACGCCCGCTTTTCTCAAAACCAGGAACTTCCTGGAAAAAAATGTCCACAGAGCAGAGCTGAAATGTCAACATGTTTACCATCAGACTCCGTCTAATCTCCCGAGAAGGGGGGACGGCGATGATGCTTGTCTAAAGACGCCTGTTGATATGGCAACCTGCAGAAAGAGACGGTAGGACTTCCAGTCGTACATTTTTGGAGCTGGGTCTTAAAGGACGCACGTATCGGACCACAGTGAGGCTGTATTGTTGTACGGTTGTGAGACTTGGCCACTTTGGACAGACTACGATATCTATGAACAAGGTCGGAATTGACTGGAACCAGCGAATTCGCGATGAAATGACCAAGGGATTTTGGTGAAGTAGGCGGTTCTTTACTTAGAGAAAGCATAGAATGCTGCAAGATACGGTGACTGGGCCACGTGTTACCCATGTTGAGAAGAGTGTTGGTTCCCATGCATAAGCCGGAGAGCCGAAGAGAATTTGACAAGGGAGAAGGCCCAGGCGAGAACGAAGAAAAGACGTGAATTCATGGAGGCATGGCACTTCACTGGAAAAGCGATTAACAAACACATCGAAGTCGACCCAGTCTATCGACCACTACAGAACGCAGAGGCGGACAAACTAAAACAATCAGGCTGAGGAAACTACCAAAAATAGAAGCAGTAACCACAGCCAAGCGAATTCGAGGAACAGAGACCACAAACCGGGAACGGACCAATCGAAAACAGACCTAAAACATCACAAAACAGCCATACAGCCAACCAATGGAATACGAGGCAAACAAACCAAAACGCAGACAAGTCACAGTTGGGCAAATGATACTACAAGGAAGGTATATACCAATCAGCTAATCATATGACATATATAAACTCTTCAAAAACTATATAAATTCAGTTGGGCACCCAATCAACTGCACACTGACGATGTCTCCTCGGCTGGGGATGAAACGTTTGCAAACCAAGCTCGGCGAACAGATCAACCAACACCAAGAAAGAAGGGAATGAAGGATATGAAGGAAGGACTTGGTACTATTCGCCTTTCATGTGATTCTCCTTGTGCTCACAAAACGATGTCTGTGGCATTCATGCTGTCAGATTTCATCTGGGCCATCTGAGTGAATGTTGGAAGTGTGCGTGTACCTTGGAATTTTGTGCTGGGTTAGCCCTAGTTCCTTCTAGCTGTTTCATTTTTTCCTTCACATTATAAGTGTTCGGGGGCCAGCCGTCCCTAATAACCGAACAGCACATCATTTGGACGGATGTGCCACGTGCAGGACACGGGCCAAACGAAGACATGCCCTGATTGATCAGAATGCCAGCCAATCCGAGTCAAGCACCTGTGACTCGACGCTTCTCGCCCCCTCACGGAGATTCTGACACGACCTTGTGGAACACACTGTGACTACCCTATAAATACAGTTGTACTAATTTTCCTTTGTCTCCACAAAGGGCTGTGTAGAGCTACCGTGCCCTTTGATATACCATAATGGGCGAAGCAGGAAGTCAAGGGACCGATACAGAGTTGCACTACCGTTCAGCAAGCCATAACAATAAGGCTTTATTCAAATAAACTGATATGGTTGTAAGTGAACAGTCACTGTTCTTCTCTGGTGACGATGCACAATCGTATCAAGTTATACGGCACACAAATCTGATGTCTAGCACCAGTGGCCCTCGCTGTAGCGGACCAATAATGACATATTATGAGACCATAAATCCTGTAAAAAAAATCCGTGTACAAGGATCCCTCGATCAACCCTTATGACAACCAATTTGTCGCACGTTTTGGGCGCGTTGCTCTCTGAAGGAAGCAGCACTGTTGCACGACCCAATCGGTTCGGTTACAGATAAGAGTTACATCGGCGGTAACAGAACGATGAACAATTTAGAACCGACAACCTACGACCAAAATTCCAGGGCTACACTGAATGACGCTCAAAACGTGCACAATCATTTTTTACAAGGTAGTGATGCTTGAGCGTTTCGACAAGTTCCAGATCGAACGGGACCGACGGTGTTTGCGGGTAGGACACCAGTTTACTTACTCGCCCGGCTTCTAGTTGCACACACAGTTTTGGAAACCGCGTACGTTCAAGTTACGTCTCTCTATGTCTTCGTAATGCACTACTCATAAGGTTGCTGGAAATCCGTCGACAGCCTACGACCGATTTAGCCCTTTTTGGGGCTCACCAGGTAGGCGCAGTCCCCGAGTTTCCGTCAAACTTATGTTCTACTTGAAACCAAATTGCACGAAATTAGCGAATACACGCTCATTTGCAAACTAATTCGGTTTTTCGAGGGAGTCACCTGGAACCCAGCTGAATCTCTCGTTTGTGATGTTTTCAGGTGTGTATTCGCTAATTTCGTGCAATTTGGTTTCAAGTAGAACATAAGTTTGACGGAAACTCGGGGACTGCGCCTACCTGGTGAGCCCCAAAAAGGGCTAAATCGGTCGTAGGCTGTCGACGGATTTCCAGCAACCTTATGAGTAGTGCATTACGAAGACATAGAGAGACGTAACTTGAACGTACGCGGTTTCCAAAACTGTGTGTGCAACTAGAAGCCGGGCGAGTAAGTAAACTGGTGTCCTACCCGCAAACAGTCCCTCTAATTTGAGCTGAATTAGTAACCAATTGAACACGGACAAATTGTCCCATACCGACGATTGTCGCACGTGACCAACTCAACGTGGCATTGAATGGTTGCTAACGCTCATTAATACTATTGTTATTCGACAAGTGGTTGAAATCCCAGTGTAACGGTGATGCTACTGATGGGAGAGGCATGCGAGCAGTATGTTTTCTCGTAGATCCCCTATGCGTCTCTTGAAAAGTGAGCTTTCTTACGAAATTTGGGGAGTCGCATTTGCTTGGATTTGAGTAGCAGCCAATGAACATCCAGGAAAGTTCAGGAAGACGCGTTAAACAGAAGGTGGGTGTTCAGTTTTTGAAAACAAGATGCATTTGAGAGTTTTGCCTCCCTGTCCAATAGTCGGTAACTGTTCAGTTGGCATTTTCTAATACATAGCTCCACAGCGAAGGCCTTCTTTTTTCACCACCAGGTCCAAGATATTGATGAGATAATCATCAAGGGCAATCCAAGTGTATTGGCATGGCGCTCGTGAGTTAAGGTATCACATCTGCTTCGGCAATAGCCTCAATGAGACCTTAGCTCACGCAGAAAAACCTCACAACTGTTCATAGACAATAACTATGGCATCTAAATAAGTAGATTGTGAAGGAATTTGGGATGTCTCGTCAGATACCGCTGCGAACTGATCAGAATAACAGTGCTTTGAACTTTGTACACCGGCCCAAGTGGATGAATGGACAGACTCAGAAAATCACGGGGGTTTCATCCCACTCAATTTGTGCAGGCATCGCACAAAAACTGTCCGGATACTGGTTGTCAAACTAGCAAAAAAGATGGCTGATTAAAATTGTTGACAAAACGAGCTCCAATCTCGTTATAACGGAAGTAAAAAGGAGCTAAGTGGCGGTTTGTGTTCTAGAATCAACGACCAAGGTTCCTCACAAACTAATCCACGCATGCAAGACACCAAAAAGTAACCATTTCGAGTATTAGAACCACTGAGGTTAAATAATGAATATATAATAAATAATTATTCATGCCACCCGAAGGAGGTACGAGGGCTGGAACACTGTCAAGTTGTCCAAGCCTAGACAGAAGCAGTCGAGGTGCCGGGTTTGGGTTCGAACCACGGACCTTCCGATCAGCAGGTTCGCGTGATAAACCACCGAGCCATCTTCAGCCACTAAAGTTGGGCAAAAAGATAAACCAAACTGCGATAAACCATTATTTGTCGGGATCACGATAATTACCATTTTGTTGGAATCTTAGAGAGCTATTCAATCATACAGATTTTGTCACCCATTGTTGCCGGTCATCAAGCTGAAAAAATCGTTCATCTGTAACACCCTTTCGGTGCTTGGCTGCCATGCCACCAGAAGGAAGTACGGGGACCAAGAATCTGCCAGGTTTCCCAAGCCTAAGCAGGGGGAGTCGAGAGGCAGAGGTCCGGTGCGAACCACGGACCTTCCGGTCAGTAAATTCGCCCTCTAACCACTGAGCCATCTCGCAGGCTGGCGCAAAAACAACTCGTTCAATACAAACGACAGACTACAACAGACGCACGTTTTGGGTGCATCAGGAAATCTCAGTTCCACTAGTTTTCAGCAGAAACTGCACTTGAATTGATCAATTTCAATGAATAACCAAGAATATGTTCGACCGCCCTATCCAACCGCCTATCATGACCGTCGGAGAGAAACCAATATCCTTGAGTCTACCGTATAAAGGCGATCTGCAGGCGGACATAGTCAATCGCCGCTTGTTCCAATCCTTACAACGCACGTTTCCGGCTGCAGCTCTGCGGTCTTGGTTTACAACAAACCCTTTGCTCAACTTAAACCTCAAAGCCAAGATGCCAGTCCTCACCCAGAATATGGTTGTATATT